AATACATTAGGCCGGGTGAGCATTTAAGTAGAAACAAACAAACAAAAAAAGGAAATCAGCAACAGGAAAATAATGCAGTGACAGGAATAAGTCAATATCTTTCCATTAGGGCTTTTAATATGAATGAACTCACTTCTCCCCTCAAAAGACACAGTCTGGCAGAATGGATCAAGAAACAAAATCCAAAAAGACACAAAAAAACACAAGGGTCAGGGATTTAGCTCAGTGGCACCAGGCCTGCCTTGCAAGCACAAGGTCCTGAGTTTGATCCCCAGTACAGCAAAAAAAAAAAAAAAAAAGAAAAAGAAAAAGAAACACATTTAATCCCAAAAGAAATTAACAGACTAAAAATCAAAGGATGGAATACAATATTCAATACAAAGGGAACCCCAAAACAAACAGGAGTAGCTATCCTATTTTCAGAAAAGTGGACTTCAAGATAAAACTTGACCAGAAGAGGCAAAGAAGGTCACTACATATTGGTTAATGAAACAATTCAACAGGTAGAGAGAACAATTATAAACATATATGCACTGAAAGCCAGAACTTCCAACTTCATAAAACAAATACTGCTAGACATAAAAGATCAGATGACCGACCATCAACACAACTGCAGTTGGGGACTGCGATATTCCACTGTAACAAATAAATTAACTAGACAAAAAAAATCAACAAATATGAGAGCTCAACCAAACTTTTGAAAAAATGAACTTAATAGATATTTACAGAGTGTTTGTAAGACAATACATATTTTTCTTAGCAGCACATGGAACTTCCTCAAAAATAGACCACATACTAGCCCATAAAATGAAAGAGCAGATTCTGGAGTCTGACAAATGTATTTTCAGTATCAGAATCTTTACATACTAATAGCATAAACTTGGGCAAATTTCCTCAGCTTTAGGTTCTTCAACTCCACAGTGAGAAAAATAAACCTTTCCCCCAGGGCTGTTGGAAGTATTTGTCCATGTGAAGCACCTGACAAAACTAGGTATGATACAGAAAAGTTTTAGATAACTTAATAGATTGAATATTAAGATAGTTGTAGAAGCAAAATAAGTAATGTGTTCTTTTAAGATTTGCTTTTCCTGTAACTCCTTGTTTAAGGTGAGGATTATCTGACTCTAACCAGTAACTTCATTAACCGAACAA